AATGATGATGTAATTTTTTTTTAAAATTCAAATTCAAATTCAAATTTATTGTCCAAAAAGGAAATTACATTGAGAAAAAGTCATTGCTCAAGAATTACACAATTACAGTATTAAAAAGAAAACAAAAAAAAAAACATCAATATAAAAATACAGAATTATAAAATTAATAAATACATGCAAATTAACACATCAGAAATATCAAATAAAATACATTATATACAATAAAATTTACATTGTAGAAAAATTAGGATTTTAAATTACATTATTAATTAATTGCACAAAGAACCCGAAAAACTGTTAATAAAAATTGCAATATAAAAATATAATATAGTATAAAAATAACTAGTCAATGTAAAATTGTATTATAGTGTAAAATGGGCGTTGCTCAAATTAAAATGGGACCATTCAATAGCAGTTGGCAATTGAATGGGACCATTCAATTGCCAACTGCTACGGTTTTCTGTTGCTAATGTTGTTATAGTTTCTGATGGAATGAGGAATAAAAGAGTTATGATATCAAACTTTTTCCTAAAGGCAACCAATTGTAATATGAGGACAGAGAGTGAGTATTGTCAGCCATTATGCTCTTGGTCTTATCAGTCACTACTTTCATTACTACATCTTCTAAGCAAATGCTTTCTTTAAATATTTTGTTGTTATCTTTGTAGCTTTTGTGAATCTACTTTCCTTAGACTATTGGACCAGATGCTGCATCCAAAAATAATGACACTTTCAACTATATATAATGAAGAGAGAGCGTTAGTACAGCGATGGTACAAGATGAATCAATTTTGAGGCTCATGTTGTTTACTGTGTTGTTTCGTAAACCTCTTTTGCTCTAATTACATCGTCTTTTAATGGGATCTTAAGCTGTTTCTCCCGTGGGAATAGAATTTCTGTTCTAAAACAATTCACAATACTGTATTCGAAAAGACAAGCGAGATCTTTTGTTCCTGATGCACACCGCAGTTCCCCAGGGGCCTAGTCTGGACTTCCTTGTAGATATTTAAAAACAACTGTCTATTAGGCCTATATACCTACGTATTCGACATTCTTTTATTTTTTTGTAAACATAACATTTACATTGAGGTGGAAGTTCAAGGGTCCGGTCATGAGTAGAAAATGTAATAGTAAACAATAAATAAAAATATGATAGTATTACCGGTAAAAACTATAGCAGGTTTTAAAAAGGTAAAAACTACATATTTTTAATTTTATTCAATTCATATTTATATTTTTTATATATTCAATATTCACCCACACAAACACACCCATACATCAAATAAATGAATACAGTGTAGGACCAATATAGGCTTATATGTATATGTGTATAGGTCTATATTGTATTTGTAATAGAAAACCGTGTATTGTGTTTGTTTTATTCTGAATCTCGTCATCATCATCATTAGTATAATCTGCATTGCTGGAGGTCCGTTATGGATTGAGATGTAGTTCCACCACTGATCTGAATCTTGTAATATACTGTAATTGTTTTATTCTGAATCTTAGAATGTAGTACTGTACTATTAATATACTGTCTCTTATACACATCTAGATGTGTATAAGAGACAGCATCGGTAGTGTGTGNTACACCTGTCTCTTATACACATCTAGATGTGTATAAGAGACAGTATGTAGGCCAATAATAGACTCGAAAAATGAACAAGTGAACACTTTATTATAGACCATATCCATTATTATTATTACTATTATTATTATTATTATTATTATTATTATTATTATTATTATTATTAGTAATAGTAGTAGTAGTAGTAGTTGTCGTCGTTGTATTAATAAATGCTGGCCTATTATTGTAACTATTATTATTATGCTTTCGTCATAAATTTAATCTTCTTGCTTGTGAAATATAGAAAAACAATATCTATGACAAACTGTTTACATCTACATCTACTACATCTACAGAATATTAACTGTTGACCTTCCTTTACGTCTAATATAGGCCTATATTATATAAGAGGAAAAGAAGTTAGCACAGAGATTTGTTATAATTTTAGTTGTTTTGTTTATACTAAAATGATAATAAATTACTAAGCTAACACATTTCCCTTCTGATAGTATTTAGTATAGTAATTTGGTGTAAATTTAGTCTAGTTTATTTATTTGTAACTTTTATTCAACCCGTTAAAAAAGACGGGCGTGAATGTGCGAAGTAGAGGTACATTTCAGGTCATATATTTAACATTTCAATTCTGTGTGGTCTTTATCGTAGGAAACACTTTATTTTTTACTTTTTTTAAAATGAAAGGTTTTTGACCCACTGGAAAGAAACATAATAATCACAGATTTATTTATTAGATTTATATTAGATTTGTTGAATGGATATTTATCTCTATAACCCTATGTATTAGCCCTCAACATAAATAAATAATAATAGGCCTATGCATCTGAGGTTTTCAGATCTGATATCTCACAAAATATGATTGAGCCTTGTAAATTTAATATTATGTATCTCCGTTAATATAATTACGCCCTAACATTTTTTTATGCGGCACGATAGCATAGGCCTATCATTATAATGTTCATAGGACAATCTGTTATAACTTGTACATCATCATAAGTAGGCCTACGGTATTCTATAATCTTAGGCCTATAGCTAAAGGTAAACAGAGATCTAATGAAATACCCTACCTCTTGTGTTTCAGCCCTCCGACAATGTTTGTGTTCTGATGTTTATAAACATAACGTTTTCGATATTTTTCTTTTATACATATCAAACAATGGTTGTGGCTATTTTTAGGACAGCGAATCACTGATCATCGACAACACACAACCTCGTATACACCTCCGTTTAATGTAGCTTTGTATAAGTCTATATAATTTCGACTTTTACAATCAGCTGTTTGTTGGATTATCCACAAAAAACCCCACTGCCGGCTTCTCATTGGTTGACGAATCTCACGAATGTCAACAAACATATACCACAATGCTTTCAAAGCACGATATTATTATTACGACAAAACTAGATTCAGTGTTACGTATAATGTACAACGAAATGAAAGCGCTCATCGTTAAGGATGCAAATAAATAATAAGTCATCAAAATATTTAGAGAAATTCAACGTTGGCATTGAAATGTGTAGGCCTAGGCGTATCGTTTCAGGTCACGTACTGTATAAGCATATTTAGATCGTGAAACGGAACTACTACACGGTATGATCAAAGAAGAGACATAAATAAAATACGTCATATGAGTTTTATTGATTTATTTCAACAGTATTTTACGAGGGTGGTCCATCCAGCCGGAGCTGATCATTAGGTGCTCGAGAACATATCTTTTCACTGGTATCTGACGTCAAAAATGGATTCCTTTTGTCACTTCCCTCTAGCAAATTCCTAATTTTTATCATTTAATGTTTATGTTTGGTTTACGGTTTATACATAATAATATATGACAGGTGATATGGTGAAGATGCCTCAAATTTATTTAAAAACAGGTAGCAGGATTTTGTTTACATATGTATTTGCATGCAGCATCGTTAATTTTTATATTATATATAGGCCTATATACATACACATGTATATATATTTATACATATACAGTATAATATATATAATTTATACATATTTATTTACATTATACATGAAATCATATAGGCCTAACAAATATATATTTTACTATCCATTTATTTTTGTATTTTATAAACATGATCAGCAGCCAGCGCAGACGATTCGAAGTTACAGGTTTCATGAAGTAGGTGACG